TAGTTTGAGGACACCTGGTTTAAACTACTTTTCAAAAAGTAAGAAAGCTCTATAAATTCTTCTTGGTACTTAATATCCACAGTGCCTCTCTATCAATACATAAAGAGACACATAGAGAATAAAAGAAACAGTATCCCACACTTGACAAGTTAGAAAGATTGATCAAATCCAGTAAATGAATTTCATAAATATTAATTCCTCTATTCCTAAGGCCTGAAGTCCTTGCAGCTACAGCCATAGAAATTACTGGGAAATCACTTGGACTTCAGAAAAAGACTATCTGGGAATCTTGTGAAAAGCAGGAGAAACTTAGAGGAATGGATTTTAGAGGAAGACCAGTATAGCAGATATGTACTGTGCCTCAACTTCTGAGATTTGACTTCTATTAATTGTACAAGTCTAAGGCGTGGAAGCTATTACTTAGCAGACTCTGAAGACCTGGGCTTTTTACTTTTGTTTTTGTTTTGTACTTGATGACTTTAAATTCAATAGTAATCCCAGTGTACAGCTGGGAAAGAAACTAACACAATTCTGGAATGTATCAGCAGAAGTGTAGTATTTATATTAAAGGCAGGAAGAGTCTCACTAAGTTCTGTATGTATCAGATCACAATTTATCATAATATATTCATTATGGATGCCATAATTTCAGAATGGGACAAATGAACAATAGTTCAGAAAAAAAGGATCAGAATGCTGAAGATGGAAAAAGATTGCCACATGAAATAATCCAAGATGTCAAGACTGGAAAAGAAAAGCCTGGTTAGTAAGAGAATGTAAAGAAAAGACAAATAACAGTTTTCAAAAATAAAGAACCATGTAGAACCATATAGGGATAAAAACTGTTCTTTACAGATTTTGGAATAATATCAGGCAATTGTGTAGAAAGTTTAGGGAGACAAGTAGCTGCTGGTTCATCAGAAGAAAGAATTTCCTAATAGTCTGACACAAAAATGAAATCGTCTATTTCATGAGTTAATAATAGTTCCCCCTCCGTATAGGTAAGTGACCAAAGGATGGAGGAATTATGGGTAGGAATTTTATAACTGGGATCAACGCATCAGAAGGATAACTAGACTATGGAGCCTTCTAAGTTCTTTCCAATCTTGAAAAAACTAGTTTCTTTCAGACTTTGGGTATTGAAAACAGTATGTATTTTATTGTTATAACTCTAACAGAAAATTAAACATACTTCTATTCACAAGTTGACCTCATCAAATAATATTTACCAAACAAATATATCTAAACACAGGATCATTCAAAATCTAAATATTTAAGCCTGAAAGTCCCAATGATGACAAATACTGAAAAGAACGTTCAACTCACAACTGTAAAAAGTCAAAAACAAATGGAGCTTTAGATTCAGTTGCCATGAACAAATATTTACATTACTCATATAAAATTTGTAGATTTATTGGCTCTGAGAATCATTCAATTGGAAAGATTAATTATGTAGTGCAAGCAAATACATTTTAAAAAATTAAATACTAAGAGAACCTTCAAGAAAAGATGAGATATACTTGAAAGATGCTAAAACAGCCTTCCTACTATTACTGATTTATTTCAATCAAGTTCAGCATTATATTTCTGATATATACAATTTATGATATAATGTATGTTCAGAAAACTTATGCAATAAAAACATTTTTAATACATCTTTAGAAAAATTTTGTGGCTCATTGAATTCAAAATGAATTAAAGAATTAAATGGTCCAAAGGTTGAGTATCTCAATTTTTCACAAACACAGATTGAACTTGTTCTATACTTTCCCCTCTTCTCACTACTGAACTTGACTAGTCTTAAAAAAATAAATAATTTTTTTTTTTAATAGTTGAATGCAGACCTGAAACTGTAAAACTACTAGAAGAAATATAGAGGGAAAAGTCCTGTAACACTAGTCTGGGCAATGCTATTTTTGGATATGACCCCAAAAGCACAGACAACAAAAGCAAAATAGACAGGTGGGATTACAGCAAGCTAAAAAGCTTCTGCACAGGAAAGAAAACATTTAACAGAGTATAGAGATAACATATGAAATGGGAGAAACTATTTGCAAACCAAACATCTAATAAAGGGTTAATATCCAAAATATATAAAGAACTCAAAACCACTTAATAGCAACAAAACAATGCAATTAAAAAATGGGTAAAGGACTTCAACAGGCATTTCTCAAAAGAAGGCATACAAATGGCCAACATGTATAGTTTAAAAAAAAAAAAGGTTACCATTATAAATCATTAGGGAAATGAAAATCAAAACCACAATGAGATATCAGCTCAGAGCTGTTAGAATACTATCAAAAACACAAAAGATATGTGCTGGTGAGGAAATGGAGGAAAGGGAACCCTTGTACACTATTGGTGGGAATGTAAATTAGTACAGACATTATAGAAAACATTGTGGAAGTTCCTTAAAAAATTAAAAATAGAACTGTTATATTATCTGGCAATTCCACTACTAAGTACATATGCAAAGGAAACGATCAGTATAATCCTGGAGATATCTGCACTCCATGTTCATTGCAGCATTAGTCACAATAGCCAAGATATAGAATCAATGTGTCCATCAATAGGTTAATGGATAAAGATGGATAAAATGGACACAAACGTAGAATTGGATTAAAAAGGAAATCCTATCATTTGTGACAACATGGATGAACCCGGAGGACATCATGCTAAATGAAATAAGCCAGACACAGAAAGATAAATATTGCATAATCTCATTTATATGTGGAATCTTAAAAAGTCAAACTCATAAAAGCAGAGAATAGAATGATGGTTACCAGGGACTGGAGATCAAAGGACATTGGGGAGATGCTGGTCAAAGCATACAAATATTTCATTTAAGACAGGAAGAATAAGTTCAAGAGATCTATAGTACAGTATGGTGACTATAGTTAACGATATATCGTTTACTTAAAAATTGCTAAGAGAGTTGATTTTAAGTGTCTTCACCACAAAAAATGGTAAGTATGTGAGGTAATACATATGCTAATTAGCTTGAATTAGCCATTCCATAATGTGTGGGGGGGTGTGTGTGTATATATACATATATATACACATATACATACACATATATATCTCTCAAAACATGTTGTACCTCATAAAAATATCTAATTTTTATTTGTCAATTAAAATAGATAAATGAATAAACATTCTGTTTAAAAAAGAAAAGAAAAACTTTGCAGCTTATGTATGAAGACACATTAAAGACTACTAAACCTCTAAAAGCTTACGAGGACAAATCAATGGTTGGAAAACTTTGTCTTCAAAGGTCCAGATGGCAAATAATTTAGGCTTTACTTGCCATTAGTCTCTACTGTGACTACTCAACTCTACTACAGCAGTGCAAACGCAGTCATAGATAACACATAAACAAATTAGCATGCTGTGTTCCAATAAAGTTTTATTTATGGAGAAAGCTGAACTTCAAATAATTTTCACATGTTGAAATTTATTATTTTAAAATTATTTTCCAACCATTTAAATATGTAAAAACTATTATCAGATCATGGGATATATAAAAACACATAGTGGACCACATCTGGCTCATAGGCAATAGTTTGCTGATCCTTGAGAGAGACAATCTTTATCTTATAAATATCTGAATAAAAGACCCACATATGCATACAACCACTGACCAACCTCTTCTCTCATCTCTCCTAATCCTCCATCCCCAAAGCTGAAACCAATAAGCTGCTCTCATAGAAGTGAAAACACCTGCAGCTTTAAAAAAAACAAAAGCCAGCAACAATAAGAAAAACACTTATGAAAGTCTTGTGAAAAGATGGTAAAGCTGAAATTGGAAAATGACCATGGAAGACTTCCAGCTCTGATAACACTACAGCTCACTAAAGATGCTTCACATAATTTTGATTAACAATATTAAAGAATAACTTCTAAGTTCTAAGAGAAAAAAAAAATATTAAAGATTAATTGGCATACTTTCCTTAACTGCTTTCAGAAAGTAAAGAATTATGATTGATTTAAACTTTTAATGTCTACTGGGCCACAAAGCTTGTTTTTTTTATTTCTGACTTCTAGCCTAAGTAACCTCTTGGGAAAACAGAATGCATTGTTATTTTTACTCTAATTTCTTTGAAAGAAATGGTTAGGACAAGACTTCTAGAAGTTATCATGTTAATGACAACTTAGATCTAAACTAGTACTAAATAGCTAGAAATTTACTATAGATGAAAATATGGAAAACTTCAAGATGAATAAATTAGATGAAATAAATAAAAAAAGAATTTCAAAACTTCAATTCTTTAGAGAAATATACTGAAAGTATAATGCAATAATGGGAGAGGGGACATTGAAGAATTATGAAATAGTTTCATTAATACTGAACCATAAGCAATAAAAACATAAATAAAAGCTTTTGCTCTCTCCATTTTCCTTTAGTTTGCAAGAGTGGTCTCTGAGTGGTCTTGGACCAACCCAGTTCTCTCCTTTTGCAGTTCTTAAGAATAACTGTAGAATATGCTGGGAATGTAATATCCTGAGATAGGGAGGGACTGGCTAAAACAGACCAGGCTCTTTTCCAGTCCCCCATCAGAAACAGGATGTTCTCCAACATGTTAGCCCAGTGAGGTGAATCATCCCAGCACGGCTGCTTTCCAGGGTCCCTTGGCTGCAGCGCAAGTGGGCACATGCAGTCAAGACTCCATCCACCCAGGGCAGCTTTCCACAACCTTGGGGAACTAGCTTGTAATGAATCCTAGGATTTTATTGTCTCCTGCTGCCTATCCATAAATAATAAATCTGTTTCATGTAACTTGTGTGCAAGGGTGTTCTGTCTCACTGGACTCAGACAAGTTGGTATCTAGCAAAGCACGATGAAACTGCTTCACATCCTTCAATATCCTCTAAATGAAAAACTGGTTAGAAAATAATTTGACAAAAAGAAAAAAAAAAAAAAAAGAAAGAAAGAAACAGAGCGGATAAAATAAAATGATCCAGTTCTAGATTTTACAATGCCCACAATGCAGTCTTTCTTACCTTATCTATCCTATCCGGGCGGTTAGTAGCTGCCAAAATTGTCACATCCTTTAGTTGTTCAATCCCATCCATTTCCGTTAACAGCTGAGCCAAAACACGGTCGGCTACATTCCCAGCACCTAAGGAACTGATTTTTAAAAATATAATTTAAAAACTCTGATTACTTATCCCCAAATACTATATCTATTATTTTTTAAAGGTTCTATACTCTATAAGAAGAAAAATGATGTCTATTTCAAAATATAAAGTGCATGTTTAAGAATTTATTACTTATGGGACTATTATATAGAAAAACTAACTGTATTCAAGTTATTTCTTCTCCTCCATCATCCAACACGTTCATTTCCTTTCCAAAACTGAAATGGCAAATTAACGTCAGATATAAAAGCACTAAAAAGCAAGATGTAAGATTATTTTTAAAAGTTCATCAGATACATAGACAATTGTTTAACTTAACCAATGCTTACATTCTACATGGCAAATATATTAACAAAAATTGGGAATTAAAAAACTTGAGATACAAATCCATTTCTCACATGAAGCTTAACATCTATGTGAAACAAAAAATTCATTACACCCTGATAACACACGGGGTATTTCTGATGTTTCTTAATATATTTAAATATTACAAGTATTTTTTAACACATCAGCAGGTAGGAAGTCACCACAGTCCTCACTTGTGAAGAAACAGGCAAAGAAAGCATATTATGTTTTTCCTTTGGTTTATACACCAGGTCAATTAAAAAACCAATACTACACACATTACTCTTTAAGCCTATTTCCTTTGGCCATAAAAAATACCTCAATATAGATTTTTTTTTTTTTGAGACAGAGTCTCACTTTGTTGCCCAGGCTAGAGTGAGTGCCGTGGCATCAGCCTAGCTCACAGCAACCTCAAACTCCTGGGCTCAAGCAATCCTACTGCCTTCCAGACTCCCGAGTAGCTGGGACTACAGGCATGCGTCACCATGCCCGGCTAATTTTTTCTATATATATTAGTTGGCGCCAATAAATTTCTTTCTACTTATAGTAGAGACGGGGTCTCGCTCTTGCTCAGGCTGGTTTCAAACTCCTGACCTTGAGCAATTTGCCTGCCTCGGCCTCCCAGAGTGCTAGGATTACAGGCGTGAGCCACCACGCCCAGCCTTGATATAGATTTTTAACAAGTAAACTCAACATGTCCTACTAATGAACAAAATCCTGATATCACACAATCAAAAACCCCCAAACAACAATTCTCATTAGCAATAGCTTGAGTTTCCTAAGACCTACTGAGAACTGAGAAATATACAACAAATATCTGAGTGGATGAGTATAGAGATAAATAACATTTATGTGTATTGAACATGTAAATTCAATCAAATGCATTTAGGGTGGGGGAGAGATAGAACACCCCATACTTTTGTCTTAGTACCTATGACAGACAAGAGCACCTCAGTGTAGTCATCATGTAATTTATTTAATAGCAAGGCAATCAGGAACCCTAAATAGCAGTATTTAGACTTCAACAGACATTATAAATTCAAAAATTTGACTTTGTATATCCAAAGGAGAGTAGCCTCTAACTCAAACTAATCAAATGCACATGAGGTTGTTACATAAACTAAAATGTCAATTTATTAATTTAAATGGTCCTTTCCAGTGTTTAAAATATTTGGGAACAAGGAGTACCTGGGAAGTCAATGAGAATTGTTTTGGTGCGCACTAATTTCTGCAAGGAGCTAATCTGCAAGTACACAATTTTGCTTATCTGACTCTATCTAAGAATAAACTTCGAACATTTTAAATAAACGGATTCTATAAATCCTCCACAATATAACTTTTCCACATGGCAGTAACTGTCACAAACACTATTAGCAAAAGCTCTAGAAGCTACTTTCATAATTACTATAAGCATATTAAATATTACAGGTAGCTAATAAATTACATATGATGCCTTTAATTCTATCTACTCTGCTAATTAGTTGTGATTCTACACTACAAAGCATTAAGGAAGGTAGCATGGATAGATCTTCAGAGAGTCAAAGTAGACTATCCCAGGGAAGATCATTTCTAAGCTAAAATCTGAAAAATTAGTATGCACCATACAGGTAAATGGTAAGGGAGGGAGAGGAATATAGAATACAAAACCTGAAAAAACTATAGAATGGCTCAGTATAGCAGTAAGATGAACATGTAAAAGATTAGCATAGAAAAATAAACCAAGGCTGAATAACAAAGACCTTGTTATCCAAATTATGGAGCTTGGATGTTATGACAAAGTTAAAGTACGTTTCAAACAGGGACGTGACATAATGAGATTTATGGTTATGAAAAACACTGTGATTAAAAAAAAACTCAAATAAAAAAAATCAGAGGAGAACTAAATAAATGGGAGAGATATTCCATGTTCATGTCCAGATGTCAATTCTTCTCAATTTGATCTATGGATTCAATGCAATCCCAATCAAAACCTCAGCAAGTTATTTTGTGAATATTGACAAAATGAGGCTAACATTTATATTGAGAGTCAAAAGATTCAGAATAGCAAATTCAATATTGAAGAACAACAACATAGTCAGCAGACTGACACTACCCAACTTTGAGACTTACTATAAAATTGAGGCATTGTAGTATGGGTGAAAAAATAGACAAAGTGATCAATGGAACAGAACATTGGCTTGTGATTATCTTTCTAATTTTTTGTTAGGGCAATTTTTGTGAAACCACAGATAAATCAAAGATTCATGTTATTTTTGAATATGAGTTCCATCATGGAACCAATGTAGTGCAGACAGCCTGAAATATCAACAAAGTGTTTGGGAAGGATGAGGCTAATGAAAGCACAGTACATGGATGGTTTGAGAAGTTCCGTTCTGCTGATTTTAATCTTGAAAATGAGACATGTGGGTGACCTGAGACCAAGACAGATAATGATCATAAGCTGAAAACTGCAGTGGAAGCAAATCCATCTCAACCTACGTGTGAATTAGCAGCAAGGTTGACGTTGCTATTATAACAATACTGGACCATTTGAAACAAACCGTCAAGGTAAAGAATCTGGATAGATGGGTACTGCATGAATTACATGAGTGTCAGAAGAGAAATCGTCTCGAAGCTTGCCTTTCTTGGCTGTCACAACATAAAGGCAAATCATTTCTACACCGTATTGTTACGTGTGATGAAAAATGGATTCTTTTTGACAACTGCAAGCATTCCAAAAGATGGCTGGATAAAGATGAAGTCCAAAACACAATCCCAAACCGAATATTCATCAAAAAAACCTGTTTGGTGGTCCAGCACTGGTATTATCCACTATAGCTTCATAAAAACTGGTCAATCAATTACAGTGGATGTCTACTGCAACCAATTGGATGCAATGATGAAGATGCTTGCGATTAAGCAGCCAAGATTGATCAACAGAGACGGGCCGATCCTCTTGCAAGACAACACCTCACCATATGCTACACCAACAACGCTGCTCAAACTACAGAGGATGGACTCAGAAACTCTGTGTCATTCACCATATTCACCAGACCTTGTACCAACTGACTACCACTTCTTCCAGGCTTTGGACCACTTCTTGCAAGGAAAAATATTAAATTTGCAACAAGCTGTGGAAAATGCCTTTTGTGATTTCATCGCCACTCACTCTCCAAGCTTCTTTGTTGCTGGCATAAACAAGCTACTGTTAAGATGGCAAATGTGTGTCAATAGTTTAGACACATACTTTGATTAATTGTCTGCTTCTTGTTTGAGATATAATAAACTACACTTTTGATTTGAAATCAGACATCTCATATTTAATGACCTAATACCATGGTAGAAAGAATCAAACTTCCTTAAATTTTGCCATGAAAACCACCAATCTAATACTAAGAATTGCTCCTCTGAAGTCCTTCATAACTATTAGGCATGCCCATAATAATCAGCCTTTAATAAATATATTCCTAAAAGATATTTTGTTTCTACAAGATATATTAGTAGGGGACTGGTAATTAGTAGGGGACATTGGTAATTAGAGTACTTAACATTTTAGTCTTAACCGTTCATTAGCTGTTTAAATGTAATAACTGGCTCCTCACAGTCATCAAGAAATGATTTATTTTGAATAAAATTTCCAGATATGGATATTTTTATACTTTTTGGGTATTTTTATAATTTAAATTTTTTTTAAAGTAAGTCCCCCTAAAACAGACAAAATATTTTCAATTACATAGTATAAGACTGGGTGCTCAGACGCAGAAAAACTTGGCTCAGGAAACAGAGCAATAAGAAGAAAATCCCTATTTCTCTGGTTTCTTGGATCTATACCAAAAGTTCTCTTTACTGTTTTTTCTACCCTCTTCTTTTGTGTTTTCCAAATGAATTCAGCTTTTGGGGAGGGGTGAGTAGAATTCTACACAGCATTTGTCTTTGATGATTCAGGATCATCATTTATATGCTCTAAGTATGATTACAGGCACATAGAATTTAGAACTTAATGACTTGGGCACTTGCTTACTCACTCAAAAAAGGACTATTAAATCCTCCTACCATTAAATATGTGTGACTGGCCTTCTGGGCAGACAGTAACATGATGATCTTTCTACAAATTAGTATATCATGGATGGCAGCAGTGTTTTTCAAACTGTTTTCTCCCTGGCCTAAAAAAGTATGATCTTCATTATTGTTGTTATCTTTTGTCATCTTTTCATTATTGTTGCTAACAGCTACATTAAAAAGAGTATCATTTCTGTATGTTCAGCACAATTGACAACATTTTGTGAGGCAGACCCACTTTTAAATGTAGTGTGTTCAAAAACTATTAATACTTTTAGCACTGCTCACCACTTCATTAATTTTTTGGAACTCTTTGAGAGGTAAATTATTTGAAGCTTACAAATGATTCTTTACCATGAAGATAATGATGCTTCTATGAACATGAATGCAGGTGATAAAATTGTGTAAGACAGTCTCATAGTAAAATTTTAAAAATCTCAAATTTTAAAAGAAAATGTATTCACAAGTAACACTAAAACATAATGAACTCTATTCATAACTTGTTAAGAGAACATAATCTAATGTGGTATATGTATACCATGGAGTACTATTCAGCTCTAAGAAACAACGGTGATATAGCACATCCTATATTTTCCTGGTTAGAGC